GAGATGGTAGCTGTCCCATCATTTAGTCTATGGGACACAGCCTAGAGCAGCAGATGACACTGGGACAGGAGTTTAGTGTTCTGTGTTCTTACCCTACTCCTGAGACTCACTTGCTGTGTGATCACGGCACAGTGGCCTCCCCTCTCTGAGCCACAGCCTTTCCATGTGTGTAATGTAAGTGGGAATTTTCAACCCTCATCCTGTGGTTGCAGAAGTATCCTTAGGGTATGTTTGGATGGGCTTCTGTGCAAAGTACTCTTGGAGTGAGAGACTGAAGGGAGAGGTGTTCAACTCCAACTCCTCCAGATGTGACACTGAGATGACTTCTGAACAAAGACTGCAAAGTTCTCAGCTGCAAGAAGCAGGTGGCTGGGGCTGTGCAGAGTAGGCAGCTGCCGGAAGCAGCCCGCACCTGGTTATTGAGCATCACAGTGCTCTCATGGTGCTCACCGAGGCAGCCCTACTTTGCCAGATGTCTCTCAATAAGCCGGGTTTCTTTTTCAGCCTAGAATCCAGAGCCCTGAGAATGCATTTTTCATGTAAGTTCCTTCATGGTTTTCCTAGAGTACTCAGGGAGGATACGACCGTAGGAAGCACACCTGTAGGCTGAATTGGGCCAAGTCCGCCATCTCTGCCTCCAAAGCACTGAGTGGAAAACTGCACCCAAAGCACCACCTCTCAGGGGAGTCCTAGGAGATGAGCCTGAGTTGGTCCATTCATGCCACCTGCAAAGCTTGAGGGCTGGCCACCACCCTTTTCCTGTCCCTAGGTCACAAACGATGCTCAGGGACTGGGGCTGGGGGATACATGTTCCTCTGACATTTCTGTCTGTTTTGTTCCATGCTGGGATTCGAACTTGGGCCCTACACTTGCTAGGCAAGCACTTCATCACTGAGCTCTGTCACAGTGCAGGGTTCATTTTTTTCTCACATTAATTTATTGGTTTATTATCATATAAAGAGTACTTAAACATAAATGGTGTAAAGACATATAAAGTGGAAAATATATAGAAAGACCCCGCCTCCTTGCCAGAAATGAAACAGCAGTTCCCCATGTCCCTCTAGAATGCAACCGTCTTCCTTTGCATGCTCAGCTCATTTTTGGCACATTTTATTTCATAGTTTTATTTAATGTGCCCGGACATATTTCTATATCACCTCAGACAAATCCATCTCTTCATCTTTTACTGCCCTGTAACAAGCAATTTTATGGATTTACTGCCATTTATTTTATCAATCCCCATGACCAGACTCTTTGGGAATATCCAGGTTTTTATTCTATAGGTTATGCTGTGAAGAAAAACCCCATCTGTTTGGCGTTTTTATATACTTTCGTGTCCGTAGCTTTGGAAATAGTATGTGCTTGTTGGGTGAGGTGCTACACCCTTGAAATCCCAGAATTTAGGAGGAAGAGGCAAGAGGATCTGGGATTCAAAGTTATCTGTGGCTACACAGTGAATTTGAGGCCAGCCTGGGCTACATGAGATTTTATCTCAAAAAACAAATACCTGCATTGAGGAGGAGGCTCAGTGCCAAGACCGATGTCCTGAGTTCAGTCCTGGGGACCCACATGTTGAAGGAATGGATATTAAATCTCCCTGTTGTTCTTTGACCTCTACTCACACTGTGTGGCACAAGCATACCTCACACTCACACAAGTAAGTAAATAACTGAAATAAAATCATTTTTAAAACTGAAGAAAAGAGAGAGTATGTGCATTTGAAAAAAATGGTCACTGAAGTATGAAAAGCGATACTTGAACCTAAAATACCTTTTTCCTAGTCTGAGTTAAATGTCACTGGGCAGGAATCGGATGGAAGCGACTCCTGACAGGAGCTGTACCTGTGAGCGAAGTGTGCTGGTGTTCCTGGTGCCACTCCTCATAGCATCCGTAGCTTTTCTCTACATTTGAAATCATTTCCAAATTAAAAGTCTTAACCAATTATTCTAATAAAGCAGCCAGAAAATCAAATTTGGGTTTCACATGGTTTACTTGAAATCCTATATTATTAATTACAGTATAGTTGATCCTATTTAAAGTCTTTTCTGTTATAGTTTTTTCTTTCTTTTTAAATTATAGGGCTGGAGGAAGGCTCGCTGTTCTTGTGGAGAACGAAAGTTCTGTTCTCTGCACACATGCTATCACTCATAACTGCTATAATGCCAGCTACGGGGATTTGATACCCTTGGCTGGTCTCCAGGAGTACTGTACACACACACACACACACACACACACACACACACGCATGCATGCATGCATACACACACTTTAGAAATGATATATCAATGATACAGACTCATGGGATAAAATAGTATAAAGATTTAAGTGTGTGAATTACCTGTGACCTCTGCCTGCCACCTCTAACTCTCAGCAATCCTCCTGCCTCAGCCTTCCAAGTGCTGGAAATCCAGGAGAGCATCACCCTAGCAGGCCCTGTTTATGCATTTTGAACCAGGCTGTGGTCCTCCACCGGCCCACTGAGAAAGCTTTCTTTCAGGTCTCTTCCCCATGAGCCCCATACTCAGCACTTACTTTTTTCTCAAATTATAATGCCTAGTCAATTAAAGTAATCCAGTTTATTGTGCAACATGTAGATAACCTATAAACAAAAGAGAAGGATGTCAAGTCACCTGTAGCTCCCCCCCCCCATCACGAATCCAGCAGTGTTGCAGCATATGCTTTGGCTGGTTGCTGTGCATGCTGGCACATGTCTGGGAATGTCTGGGTGAGGGCTGAACCAATGACCCTGCAATTTTACCTGCTTTCTTGACTCCTATTCTTCTGACTCATCGTTCTGGTGAGACTTGTCCTTCCATCTTGAACCTTTTTTGTAAAACTTGGAAGTTGAGGATAACTCAGATGATTGTTATTTGTCATGCCTGTGAAGTGGGGTGGAGGATGGTCAGGGAAGGCTTCCTGGAGGAGGTGGTGCTGGAGCAAAGACCCCCAATGGCTGACTGGAAGTCATTAAGATAGAAAAGGAGAGATCGATGTTCAGGGATAGGGAATAGCCTAAGCAAAGCTCTGGAGGTCAGAGTACACCTGGGTTGACAAAGCCTGCATAAAGTTTGATGGTAGAAGGATTTGGAATAGGGAGGAAGAGAGCTCTTAGATGAATCCAAGAGACTTAGGGATTGGCCTGAAAATAGAGGAGACAGATGGAAGACTTCAATCCCTGAGGGATGTGGGAATGGCACAGTCATGGCTGAAAATTGCATTTTGGAATGGGAGAGGCAGCAGAAGACCAGTTTCCCCTGACCCGACCTTATTAGGCAGACCCCGTGAAACTCCTGCTCAGCTCTCTCTCCCTGTCAACCTAGAGCTGCTCACTTCTAGAATGGTCATCTGAGTCTTTTTGGCAGTCGTGAGGGTCTCAGCTGGTGGATGTGGCCTCTGAGTCCCAGAGCGCCTAGTAAAAGGACCATTAACAATTTGATGGAAATGATTTTGAGAAACTTGCATTAGAAAAATCTGCATCTGCTTTCTGTGGCCTGTTTAAAGGGGAAAAAATCGTCAAACAAGATCCTGGGAACCCACATAATATCAGAAGCCAGCAGCTGGTGTCATTGTGCAGACCACAGGTGGGGTGGTGGGGCTTCCTCATCTAATTATCCCAGCTCAGTGGCCTCAGCATCTCCTTGGAGACCAGTTACCTTCCACCTGTACACTTGGAGAAGCCACGGTGCTCAGAAGAAACAAAATGGTCCATGTATTTTTAAAATATCAAACCAACACATTCTTCTCATGAAAACCAGAGTGTCCAGGGTTAGATGGTCATCAGAGGCTCTTCCAACCAAAGCCTCATCCCTGAGAGCCACAGCCCCTGGGCCATCCAAAGTTGTCATATCTATAACCCATGCCAATCAGTTCTCTTCAGGCTGGGACCCCTGTTTCCTTCTGTAACCACTTATGTTCATATGTGAAGAGATGCAAAACAATCATCAACTTAAGTGCTCATGAATGGGATGGCTTCCATGCAGCATTAATAATGTTGACTTGGTGATGGTCCTTCACTTTCCACTCAGGGCTAGTTCAGAAAACTCTCCAAAATGCAAATAAGGAGGGTGTGTGTGTGTGTGTTTACATGTGTGCACATGCATTTGTGTTCATGATTTCTAGTGACTGAGACCTAGTTAGAGACACAGTCAACAGTTCACTTGTACACTCAAGGTCTCAGTCTGGTCATAGTGGCTAGGAGGTTGGACTGCAGATTCCTAGGTATCTAAGAACACCCAGCTCTGCCTATGAACTCCAGCCTTCTCTCCTGTGAGACGGGTAATCTTGTAAGTTTGTATGCTTTCTCTAAAACCTGTTTTTTTCAGCTGGAAAGCGGGTATGTGGCCCTATCTATCTCATCTATCTCTGTGGATGTGATTACTTGCTGAGATGGTGCCTAATGGACAGATACTTAGCCTGAATGCAGTCAATGACCCTGTCACTTCTGTTGTGGCTTAGCACAACATAGCCTGCTCGCATTTCACCTTGCGGGATCTGGATACATCTGGATCTACCCACAAAGACACATCAGAACTGATACAAGAGGCCAAAAAAGAACTTTCTGGAAATCCAAGGGCTGAGAGAGCACTGGAAATTCAGTCTGTGAGCGCATTGTAAGAGTGGAGAGAGATGTAGGCATAGCCTAGCCTGTTGTCAAGTTCACTGTGAAGGAAGGAGCGTAAAGAATCAAAGCTGCTGGGCCAGGCCTGAGAAGGTGAATGCTAAGACTGGAGCTAGAAGACTGAGAAGGAAGTGCAGAAGAGGGCAGATAAGGTCAGGCAGTCCCCACAGCCAAGGCCTGGAATGTGGGGAGCCTCAAGCAGTGCTGTGTGCACTACGGGGGTTTCTGCAACATCCTAGGGTTCAGCAGACATCTCTTCTATGGCTTTGAGGACACTGAAGACCTCAATCCACTTATTAAGCTTGACCACAGTAACCAAACAAAAGCAGGCTTTCCATTGTTCTTTTAAAAAATTATCACTTTTTTATTTATTGTGTGTGCATGCACCGTGGGCATGGGGAGCCCAGAGGAGTCAGTTCTCTCCTTCCGCCATGTCAACGCAGGGTTCATACTCAGATCTTCAGGTTTCACAGCAAGCACGTTTACTCACTAAGCCCTCTCACTGCCCCCTTGCATGGCTCTTTCTGGCAGGTAGGTCTTGGGCAGAAAGCCTGGGACTTTTCCAGGCTGGGACTGCATCAATACAACAGGAGATGCAAGAGGTGTGTCAGGTCCTCGAAGACCAATTTGTCCTAGAACAGAGCCGACTATCACAGCGCTGTCTGTGATGGGCTGGCTGTATTATGCATGACATTCATTTGCTGATTTGCATTTTCTTCACCTCTTAAAAAATGAAAGGCAAGAGCAAATAAACGATGAAGGAAGAGAAACAGAATGCCTAATAAATGACTAGCAGAATGAGAGGGCTGGGCACAGCTAGACAGGCAGCGGGGATGAGAGGGCTGGGTACAGCTAGACAGGCAGCGGGGATGAGAGGGCTGGGCACAGCTAGACAGGCAGCGGGCATGAGAGGGCTGGGTACAGCTAGACAGGCAGTGGGGATGAGAGGGCTGGGTACAGCTAGACAGGCAGCGGGGATGAGAGGGCTGGGTACAGCTGGAGAGCAGCACAGGTTCTGTTCAAGAGACACAACAACCTGAGGGTGAGGGAGGCCCAGACTTTGCTACTCTTCCTTTCCCTGGGAAGAGAGTGCAGAAGGGAACAGTGATGCCCAAGTTCTTCCCACACTTTATTCTAATCTAGCCAGGTTCATACTCAATCTCTCCAAGTCTCAGACTCCCTGTCTGAACAGAGGGTATCTTGGTTTGCTTTCTGTTGCTAGGATAAAGTATGAGCTACACTCCATCACTGACAGAAACCAAAGCAGGAATTGAAGTAGAGGCCACAGAGGAACTCTGCATACTGGCTCTCTCCCAGTCTCATGCTCTGCTGCCATTCCTATATAACCCAGGCCTGCCTGCCTAGGGATGGTATCACCCACAGTGGGCTGAATCCTCCTACATCAATCAGCCATCAAGAAGAATGCCCCAATGACATGTCTACAGCACAATCTAATGGAGGCAGTTCCTCAGCTGAGGTTCCCTTATGCCCAGCTGCGTTAAGTTGACAGTCAAGATTAGCCATCGAACTGTGGCATCATGGTACCTGGCTTGCTTGTCTTAAAGTATTCAAGGGAGATAGATCTTAGTCATGTAGATTAGAAAACTGAAACTCAACAAAGAGCAATACATCAGGGATCAATAAAGAGAATTTCTTTTAGCATAATTCAATCACTTACTGAAATCAACCTTGTACCCTTTAGAGACAACCTGGGTGAAATGTGCAGTAGTTATGCTTACAGGTCTGAGATAGAACCCTAAATCTATGAACTCTGTGGTCTTAAGTATGTCACTTGTGTCCTCTGAGCCTCGGTTTCCCATAGGTCAGATGGGGACAACAGTCCTCGAACTATATAGCATCAGTCAAAGAATTAACTAAAATAGGCAAGCAGCTGGTTCCTAGCACATAATAATGAACAGTGGTTTTGGTCTCTTTCCTGCTCCGACTTCTAAACATAAGCATTTACCCCAATTCCTTGGTAAACCAGAACCTGCTTCATTGAATTATAGAGACTAATGACAATAGAATAATATCATTTGGAAGTTATTTTTGTGAGCTGCAAGAACATTTAGAAACTTTTACCCCAAGAGATGTCTTTTTCTTTCTCTCACATAGTCAAGGCATTTTTAATTTACTACAAATACTAAATTGACCCTTCCTTAAAATATACCACACAACAAATCTGGCACAAGTAACAGCACTTGCAAGTATTAACAGTCTGCCATACTTGCAACAGGAAGCAAACACCCAAACACAGAGATGTGTATGACCACTGGATATACATAGTCATCAGCATCAATTTATCTAACCACATAGCTTGAAACTTGGGTACTTGCAATCTTTGCCTTCCACCTAGAGTTTTCAAACTTGTTTAGTGGATCCAGATCCATTTTACCTTCAAGATTCTATAGAAGAAGCCAGAGGCTGTAGGGTGGGACATAAGGAGGGCTTTGAGCTTAGTAGGACTAGGGTTCTCTTCTCACTTGAACATTAATATCTGGTGTGAGTGTGTGTGTGAGTGTGTGTGTGTGTGTGTGTGTGTGTGTGTGTGTGTGTGTAGATGTGTACATGGGTGTACTTGCCCATGAGTGCACATATGGAGGTCAAAGTCAATGATGGGGCTTTCCCTCTATTGCCCTCCACCTTACTTTATAAGACAGGGCCTTTCACTGAGCCTGGAGCTCACCATGTCAACTGAACTAACTAACAGTGAGCACTCTACCTATTTTCTGACCCCTTTTCTTTCCCAATAATCTTACCGGTTAACAGCTCAAGAAGTGCCAACATGTGGCTCATCAATCATGTTCTGAGAGGTTGGGGAGGGGTGTCAGCTCCTTCTACAGCCTGTTGGGCATAGAGAGTTATTTCACAACTTGTATATAACATTACACGTGGCCTGCAGAGAAAAGCCGTAGTCATTAAAGCACTGCATATGTTTTCCCTCATTGCTGGGACCTTTTCATGTAGCCATTCTCGCCCCAGTGACCTCCCAATACACCTTGAACAGACACTTGGCTATTCAAGCATACTCCTACTTCAAGGCTTTGGCACTCTTGCTGCACTGCAGTCTGAATACAGAGGCACAAGTTGGATCTCCTCTTCTCAGGGAAGCCACCCTTGACCATTCTGTTTTAGCTGCAAAGCACACCCTATTCTCTCTGGCATTTCAGTTCTATTCACCTATCTCTACTGCTGACATCTGTTAACTCAATGAGCATATTTTTTCTTACTTATTGAATTTATTGTGTTCTGCTCATCACCCAGCTGCATGTGCATAACTTCGATGATTTCATTTCCCTGAAGTTTGGAGACCTTTGCCTCTTTTTATTCACAAACATATTCCAAATGTTAGGACTGAGAATGTGGCTCAGTTGATAGAGTACTTACCTGCCATGCACAAAGTCATGGGTTTTATCCTCAGTAGTGTGCAAACCGGTATGGTGGGTCATCCCTATAATCACAGCACTGGGGAGGTAGAGGCAGGAGGATCAAAAGTTCAAGATCATCAATGGGTACATAGGAAGTTCGAAGACCTTTTAAGACTAGAGACCTTGTCTAAAAATAGATGTCTGTACTCTTGATACAGGATAGATGTCCATTTGTAGGATGGATGGATGGATGGATGGATGGATGGATGGATAGATGGATGCATGGATGGATGGATGGATGCATGGATGCATGATGCATGGATGGATGGATGTGTGGATGGATGGATGGATGGATGGATGGATGCATGGATGAATGGATGGATGGATGCATGGATGCATGGATGGATGGATGCATGATGGATGGATGGATGTGTGGATGTGTGGATGGATGAATGGATGGGTGCATAGATGCATGGATAGATAGATGGATGGACAGACTAAAGAATGGACAGACAGATGGACAGATGGATAAATGAATGGACAAATACATGAGCCATAAAATTGAAACATGCTTGATGGTTTTCTTGGGGAATATTTGGCCTCCATCTACTTAAACACTGCAGGCACCTGCTCATAACTGAGTAGGCTCACTCCTGCTACCCTAGGCAGCTACCTGGGTCACTGTGACCTCTGGGGAGCTGAAGACACAAGTGAGTGACTCTTCTGCTCTTGGTTTTCTTTTTTTTTGTAATAGAAAACTCTTTTATTTTAGTATTGCCCTCAAGTTCAGAAGTTTGGAGCAAATGTACTGAGAAAGCAGTTTGGGATCTACTCCCACCAGGGATCTGGAAGCCTTAAATTTAGTGATCCCCAACAGCAGGCCCAGAAAACCCAACAGCCACGTGCTAGTCTTGCACTGTTAACACACAGGGCCCCACAAGACATCAACTGGAATCAAAGGTTGATGAGGCCCACCAAGGTCCCCATCTCATCTAATTGGTGGTAGATGCTGGGCCCAGACAACTCCTCATATAGAGATCTGGGGCACAAGATGCTGGGCTCTGCCTTTTCTTGGGCTACCAAACAAGCAACTGGGGAAGGAGTAGGGCTTGGGTGGAGACCACTGAGCACCAAGGCTAAGGTGACCCAGGAGCTGACCTTCCACTTGGCTAGAGGCAGGCCGAGGAAAGGTGGCATTTCAGTGATGCAGAAGTTAGCTGTGCAGGAAGGAAAGTGCATTTAAGGTTGCTCAGAAACAGATGTTGACCACAGTGCCACTGAGAGGAAGCCGAAGCTGCGGGGAGGACAGACCCGGGCCTTGGTTTTCTAGAAGAGTCCCTGTTCTCCATTTGGTTTCTGCTTTCTAGAAACATTTTTTACAAATAAATTTATAAAAGAGAGAGGAGGGGAGCTAGTAGCTGGATAAAAAAATCCTCTGTCTCTGACCATTATGTCTGGCACACACACACACACACACACACACACACACACGCACACATACACACAAGCATACACACAAGCATACACACACACACACACACACACACACACACGGGCTCACACACGCGCAATAATATTTCACCCATGTGAAATGTAACTTACCCCATGTGAAATCTAACATCTTGTTGTGAAACGCTGCAAAAGGATTTTTTAAAGTCCACATTTGAAGCTGTTGTACTACAAATGTTTGAACCCCTCCCTTTGTCTGGGATTCCCCAACTACTATTTCCTAGTATTACTGCAGACTCCAGTCTGTAACCTTCTTTTTATTATGATGAAATTTTAATAATAAAAAATACTCTACAGAACAGCTAATGAAGGTGGTGTGACATGAAACTGACATTTTTATAGACATGCAAATAAACATTCATTCTATTTCTTTTTCCTTTTGTTTTTTGGGACCAATATATTTTCAGGTCCTATTTTTTTTTAATGTATGTATGTATGTGTGTATGTAAGTATGCATGCATTATGTTATTGTATGCGGGGAAAATTTAAAGACCTCCTCAGCGGTGGGGGCCGGGAGGGGCTTCCACGCTGCGGCAGGTCCCACATTCGGGAGGAATCCTATGGTTCCAGCGGCCTAGAGGCCTTGGCGGTGGCAGGCCCCAATGACACGAGGAAGTCCTTGGTTCCAGAAAGGTTTATTGTCATGGCGGATGGTGGATGGATCTAGGCGTACCCCCCAGAACTCAGGGCAGTCCCGAGTTATATAGGGAGGGAGAAAGGGGGAGGATCTGGGGGAGGCATGCTTAATTTGCTCTGCCCTCTGGCCTTCATTAGTATGTAAATCCCTAAGGCCTGAGGCCTATAGTCTGGCCTATGTGACTGAACAATGTAATTTTTTGAAGACATGACTGCTTTTTAGGACCCTGGATTCTGGAGGGCGCCGAACTCCTGCCGGTACTCACGCAGAGTCTCGGGGTTCTAGGCACCTGCTCAACCATAACCCAGGATACCCTCATGCAGTCCCACAATTGTAGGTTATTGAAAACTTTCTGAGTCCAATAGCCTGGGTTGGTAGTGTCTGGTAGATAAAGTAGCTATGCTGGAGAACACTTAGGAAAACAGAAAGACTGGGTTCTGCCAAAAGCTCACTCTTGAGGACTTTAACAAATCTCTGATTATCTCAGCCTGAATCACCCAATCCCTAAGATGGAGATTATGGCTCTCCACCCAGGTGATGGGAGGAATCCTGTCAAAAACATTCCTTGTTTCCTTCTGAACCAGAGGGAGCCCAGCATACTCAGCATGGCTCTCAGACTTGCAGGGCTCTGTTTTCCCAGCTACTCCCAGGTCTGTTCTGCTCACTGTTTGCCTGAGTTGAGTAAGTCTGGCCAGTACTTTGACCCTCATGTGAATTACATGAAGGGATGGCAAGACCAAAATTCATGAGAGTCTACTGTGTGGAAGGTGTCCTTAACACACCGTGCTATTCACTTCACAGATGCTTGTGTGCCCAAGTCTCTCTGTCTTTACCTTCTCCTGCCAGAGCACCTCCCTCTGCTCTGTCCTTAGCCATCCTTCTGACTCGTTCTTCCTCCTCATCTTAGCCATCAGCCATTTGGCCTAGTATACCTTCAACAAGGAATTTCTCTCTACCTATGTGACTCCTTGCCCTCTTGCCTGGATGACACATCTCCAAACCTGCTTTCATGTATTCAGAGTTTTTATTTCTCCATTTTATCCTTTGCTAGGGCATCAGGGTGCTGTTCATTATTACTTTGCATAGCTTGGCTTTGTTTTGTTTGAGACAGTCTACTGGAACCCAGGCTGACCTCAAATAGCTATGTAGCTGAGGCTGGCTTTGAACTTGTGATCCTTCTGCCGCCACCTTCCAAGTATAGATTACAAGTGTGCAACAACACTATGGACAGCCAGAGCATTTTTAAAGTGTTAAATCAGATTGCTTTGTGCCCCCAGCCCCTGCATTCATGCCAAGATGTATCTCCCCAGCTTCCTAATAGGCTTGCAGGACCCAGCGTCCATCTTGGCTGCACAGCTCCTACTGTCTTGGCTCCTCCCAGTTTCTTTGCACCCTTGCCCATATCACCAGCACTCTCCTACTTCTCACACAGAACAGTCTTCAATTTTGGCTCCCAGCTCCACAGCCACCTCCTGGGGGAGCCTTCTACATCTCTCCCTAGCACGTCCCTGTCCTGCTATTCTTAAGACTCAGTTCTGTGCTTCCTGCAGAGCAACATACCTGTTTAGTCACATGCATGCTTTGTTTCCTTACTGGAACTGTTTACTCCACAGCCAACCAGCCAGGCACTGCAGGAGGGCATAGTCTGTTATCCTGAGCCCTCCCTGATAAAGGCACAGAGCCTGGGGCTCCTGGCAAGTTCAGCAGCAGTTGTTGAATGAGGGACAGTTCAGTTTGGAAGCAGATGTTCTTCTGATGATGAACTGAAGTCCTGGCCCCTTTAGGATCTTGATGGCCTCCTCTGGACTCCCTAAGCACCTTACTTTGCTTTAATTGATCTTTTCCTTGTCTCTCTCGTTAGATTATGAGCCTCTCAAATACAGATGCATGTGTGCTGGCATCTAGTCTCATGAAACCTTTGACAGATCAATAGAACTACTAAAGCCAGAGCAGGAATCCAAACAGGATCTGACTGAGAAGCCTCATGATGCCCGAGACTGTATCAGACGGGTAGGATTATGAACTATGTTAGTATAATTATTATGTTATTGTCATCATAGGATAAGCTACATTAATCCTCCACTCTTGTGATACACGTGATGTATTTGTAATGTGACTGAGGCCCAGAGCTTTTCAAGGAGGGTCTTAAGGTCACATAGTAATGGAGTCAAAATTGGAACTCAGAGCCACATCCTGTCTTGTTCAGAACCTTTCTGCTCTTCAGAAAGGTGCTTTCAGGCATCACCTTGTTTCTTCAAGACCCCATATTCTCACAGGAGCGAAGAGGCTGAGGTGGTGAGGGTGCCAGGGTGAGTGGCAGGACTCTGAAAGTGATCATTGACTCTGAAAGTCATGTGCTGGAAGCACAAGGTCTCAGAATGCAAGAGCCATCATGGGGCAGTGAGTGTCACAGGGTAGAGAATTGTGGCCAGAATAAGCTATTCTTTCTAAACGAGAGTCACTGACTTCTTGTGTGCCATTAGGGAGCATAGATTTTCCTGATGAAGCAGACGAGTCCTTGGTTCTCTGTATATTCATGTGTGTGGGAACTCACTCTTAAACCCTTTAGTGAAATGTCTTCCAAGGAAAACAGAAAAAAATAAAAACCCCATTAAAAGCCTCTTGTGCCCGGCACTGAGCTAAGCATTTTATGTGCTTATTCGTGTAAACAACGGTCTCATTACCTTGACTGAAAAAGACCTCCCAATGTGTAAATCATGACTTCCTGGGCTTCCTGAGAGCCTCCATTTTCACTCTGGTTGACCACATGTGTTTCTCAAGTCAGTACTGGACACCTAGCATGCCTTTACAGTGTATATTCCAGACAGGACACAGTCACTTTCACATATAGAGAGTACAAAGCCAATATCATGGTTTCTCTTTCCTGCTGAGGACAGGACTCCAGGTGTCTGCTCCCATGCAAGCATCTGCCCCCAGGGATTCACTAGTCCCTCCGCACCATCCCAGGTCACCTCTACAGGACAGATTGCACAGAGAACATAAAGATGGCTCGACATACTCAGCACTGTGCTTTGCCTAGCAGTATGCAACATCATTCCCATTTTATCAACTTGTAGAAGCAGGTTGGTGTGACCGGGGTTCCCAGGAGATCATTCCATCTATCCCTTCCATGTTACACAGGAAGAAACAGGTCTTAGAGGTTATGGGTTGACTTTTCTGAGGCTACACATCACATCTATGGTGGACCTTCAATGAGAACCCAGATCTCCTGACTCCTGGTTTGTGTGGTCCTTCAGTTAAAGCAGTGGTTCCCAACTTGTGGGTCATGACTCCTTTGGGGTTGCATATGAGATGTTTATTTTATGACTTACAGCAAAATTAGCAGTTAAAGTAGCAATGGAATAACTTTTATGGTTGGTGGTTGGGGGGTCACCACAACACAAGAAACTGTATTAAAGGGTCACAGAATTAGGAAGGTTGAGAACCATTGCATTAGAGGGTTATAAATGATACAGGGGCAAAGTGGGGGGTTAGGGAAAGGACTCAGTGGGTACATGAGGACTAGAGTTCAGATCCGCAGGATCTATGTAAAAGCCACGTGTGGGGCACATGTCTTTAACCCCAGCAGCAGGGAGGAGAGACATACAGAGTGGCAGATCCATGGAGCTCATTGATAAGCTAGCCAAGCCAACTGTTCAGTGAGAGACTTTGTCTTTAAAAAATAAGACAGAGAACAACAGAAAAAGATACCCTCTGGCCGCAACGTGTGCACATATAGATGAGAACACCCACATACGTACATACATACTCATACACACACACACACACATTGACTCATACACATACACACAAACACATACATACATACACACATACTCATGCACACACACTCATACACATACACACAAACACACACATACATACATACACACATACACACACATACATACATACACACATACTCATACACATACACTCATACACATATACACAAACACACACATACATACATATACTCATGCACACACATACTCATACACAAACACACATACATACACACACACTCATGTACATACACATACATATATACATTCACACACATTAACACAAACACACATACGTACATACACCCACTCATGCATACACACACTCATATACATCAACACAAACACACACACACATACATACACACACTAGTGCACACACACACACTTGTGCACCCATATATACATACATGCACACATGCACACACACACACAAATTACAAAAAAGAAAATATTTTCTCTGGGGACCAGGGACAGATAGATAGAATTTTTAATGCTATTCTCTCTTCTTTTACCTGTTTGAAATTTCCCATGCTAAAAAGTTTCTTTTTAAGTGGAAAAAATGGCCCTAGAAGAGTGTTTGATTATAGCAGCAGTGGGTCCTGTTTTTATATTCACCTCCTCAAAGATGTGTTTAATTCTTCCCAGAGGAATCCTTCCTGTACATTGAATCCCTCCATGTGGCGCATAGCCGGTCCCGCACATAATTACTAATGATAGGACGGGGCTTGGGCTTTTCCCATCTCTTTTGTCTAGGAGCCAGCACATAAGACATCACTTCTTTGAAGCTCTAAGCCTCCTTGGAAGCCAGCCTCAAGCTTTTCCATTTTAGTCTCCCCAGCTTCTGCCCACACCGTACTCTCAAGGTCAAGGTGTCCCCAACTTGTCCATTACTGAACACTGCAGTGCTGTTATTTACTAAATATTTTTCCTTGAACTGACTCATTTCATTTACTTCAGTATGTTTTCAGAGGAAACTATATGTCATTACTGTGGATGGAAAATTAGGCATAGAATCCAGGGAACTGGGATTTAGTGTCCTCGTTATGCTTATCCTAACAGTCATTATGAAACTCAAGAAAAGGGTTCATGAACGGGCAACTGAAAAATCTCAATTTAAACCGTGCTTTGGAAAACACTATCATTGGCTGGTGTTCTCCTGGGAATAGCCTTGTTTTACATCTCTCCCCAGAATGTGTGTGTGTGTGTGTGTGTGTGTGTGTGTGTGTGTGTTCGAGCAATGCATGTGTACCTGTGTGTTCTCAGTAATAGAACATGTCCACTTGGTCAGTATACCTGATGTGGCATGTCCTTCTGCTCTGCCCTGTACTCTGTAATCCTGACTTGTATGAGGCAGGAAGGAGTACATGGCATGCAGACAAGGCAGGCAGGCAGTGTGCATCTGTCAGTGCAGCTTTCTTGTACCCTGTCACTCCCTTGCCCCACAATGCTCAGGAAATAAACAAATGGCCCTGGCTTGAAAGACCATTAGGCAACATGAGCCATGTCAGCAGTAGGAAAGGACTAGAAAGGGCTAGGTCTCAGCTAGGAAATAGATGAATGGAGGAGATTATGTGCTAAAGTGTGATTTGTAAATTGGGAGCTCCCATACAACTCAGGACTGTTCTGATGAAGGCCGGAGGAGGATTTAATACTCTTCAGTTTATCGAGAGGCAGTGAGCTGTGTGGGAATGGTCCTGGCTTCCCAGCTACACAGACTAGGTTTAAATCCAACTTAAGTCATCTTGAAACAGGACTTTATATCCAATGAGGCTCATTTTTTAAAATCTGTGAAATGGGGATAATAGCACCCTTTGTCCAGGGTTACAGTCGTGATGAGCTAAGGAAAAATTAAGCACAACACTGGGCTGTAAAAAATAAAAGGCAGTTGTGGTTTCCTTGAACTCATGAAAGACTTCCTGATTCATTGAAGAAAGAATAAACTCTAGCGTGTACAAGTTCAGGGTTAATGTGGATAGTATTTGTTACTGAAATCCAATATTCTGAGACTGGGTTTTCCATTTGTGTGTGGCAACTATCCAGGGCTATATTGATTCTAAAGGATCACTCTGTGATTGCCCAATTCATCACAGTGTTCCAGGGCACTGCCTTACAATTGCCAGAGGTGTCACGTGGCTTGACAGTCTCCCCCAGCTCACTTGCAAAGTCCAGGAGGGCAGAGTACATGTTCCTCAGATGATACTTCCAGTGTGGACACAACCCACGAGCATAGTGGACTCATAGAGTAAGTGTCCTGGGTTACAGGAAGTGGATTTAAATCCAAGGGTTATTAGGGTTTTCAAGAATACCTGACAATGCATCCCTGTCTTTCTGCTAAGGCTGAGGACCACTAGAAAAATAATATTAAAAACAAATGCAAAGCCATAATGTTGATTTTAGGGATGGGATATGTCTGTATGGAATGACCCCACCACCACCACCATCCATACCTAATTGTGAACTCTATAGACTCACTTCACAATGGTGGGCAGCAGACTGTGACAGTGCCCCCTCATGGTAAGAGAACAGGGAGTTGGGGGAGAAACGCTGACTCTTGCATGAATGAAATCACACTATGTGGGAAGGGAACCACAGAAGAAAAGTTGTCTTTCCTTAATTAGGTTTCTATCCTGTATTTTCTTCTGCTCAAGAACTGATATTCTGCAAATCATATTAATTAGGCACCCAGTAACCAGTTAACCCATTCGTCAAGCAAGCATAATCCTTAGGAGATGATAGCATGCTTGAAGCAGGCGGAATCTGGATGAAGACCTACATTCAAATACAGCTCTGCTGCAAGCTGGCCATGCAAGCTTTAACCCTTGACTACCTGTACTTCCATGTCCCGTGCTATCATGAGAGATCTGTGCTCTCCACCTC